TACATTGCCACAAGACATTCCAACACAGACTTATTCTAAAGAAAACATATGTTTACATTATTTAATAACGACAATATAGTTAGCATTTTTACAGAATAAATGTAATGTGACACTATACCGATTTAATAAAATCAACAAAAAAGAAGAATAAAACAACACATAGCTATATACAACCACTTCCCTCCCCTTCCATCCCACATCTGTATGCAACTTATGTGAGTTTATATCAACTAAAGATATCATGACATTGAGAAGTATGGCGCGCGACATCGGGGCATTTTTCATTAAATTAATTCGCAAAAAAAGCTCCAGAAAAAGGAAAAAGCATATATACATCATCTCCCCTGCCTTATCCTACTCCCGTTGAATGCACAGGTTTAAAGTCTTCCAAATAACTCTATCATCCATAAACTTATCACTCCCTTCTTTATCATGTTCCTTTCACACAATCCATTTCTTTCTTTGTCTACCTCTACCAGTGTACCACATTCATTACTAACGTCCTTGTTACATGCGATTAATCCCTCCTCATAACATGCCCCCACGCTAACCTTTTATTCCTTATCTTCTCTACTACGGGGGCTACTCTCAAACTACCTCTAATATACTCATTTCGTATCTTATAATTTCGTGTTATACATCCATCTTAATATTCGCATTTCTGTCACATGTAGTCTCCTTTCATCCATCCCTTTTATTGTCCATTATTCAGATTTTCTAAAGAAAACATACAATCGTAGCAAAAGGTAGCTCAACGTATGGCGGGACTAAGCCGTTCCTGCGGTCATTTTCAGCTGACTTCTTCGCACTCATATACTTTAATTATTAGAGTAACTGGCCGTACTATTACATATACAGAAAACAAAATAATAACACTATTAAAAAAATCTCGTAAAACAAAAAAGGGATATCATAAACAAAACTATCATACTAATATTATAAATACGAAAGTTTAGATGGATGTTTGTTAAGTTTCTAGCCTAAACGGCTTAACAGATTACGATAAAATTCATCACAAATGTAGAGGACAGTCTAGAAGAACACATAGGATAGTCACTTTTGTTTTTTTTATACCATGCAGACGGAGTCGCGGGCGAAAGCTATATTAAAAGTGTTTAAATCTTTAAACCACTAAAATGATTAGTATTCTAAATCTGAAATAACTTACGTCCACCCAATGTACTGACATCGATGTACGCAGGTTGTGAAGTCCCCACTTTGTTAGTTGCAGTGATTCTAAGTGAGTATTTTGTACCACATTTAAGTCCTGTCAGAACGTGTTTCTGGACCCCAGATAAATTCGGCAACTTGTTAGCTGGCCACGCCTCCTGCCAGGGACCACTGGCTTCCTTCCATGTCAAACTGTAACCTGAAAATTGTAGGAAAATAGATAGTAGTTAAAAGTAATCGACCAACAGATGGCGCTGTATACTGTTGTATTTTTTTTTAAATAAAATTACTTGTGAGGCTGCAATCTGTTTTAAGGGAAGGCTAGCACCTAATTTCAAATCGTTTTCGCGTTGTTTTCCTGTTAAGTTGGCGAATCCAGTGAACCAATCAGGGAACAATTCGTTATTTAAGACGCGCGACGCGGTGTTGGCGCGGGAAAAATGTATTTCTTCGCGGACTTTGTACTTTAATCAAACATAATGAAGATTTCGTGAGATTTCCTGGGTTGGCCCTGCCTTAAATACTATTATTTATATAAGAAGCAATCGTAAAATTGTAATTTGTTATTAAAATGTTATAATATACATTACTGGCTGAATAGACATTTTAACGGAATAAAAAAGAAAAAGTAAAGTAGAAATGAAAGAAAAGAATTTTAAGATGAAAAAATATATGTGTAGAATGTATGTTACATTGCAAATTATTTACGTAAATATAAATAAATTCACAAAAAAATGGTTAGTTTATTATTCAGTTAGTACTTACTAATTTTTTGACTTTGAGACCTATTCCCTAGGGAATAAGGCTGTTCCCAGTCGACGAGTATGGAGTCCTTGTAGGGCGTAGCGCGGAGCACGGGCGCGTCCGGCAGAGGCAGCACCGTCACCACATACTCCACTGAGTCTGAGCCATACAAATTCTTAGCCAGGCACGTGTAGTTGCCGCCTAGAGATTGGTCGATATCTGGAAATGGTCAATTTAAATTACCAGTTAAGTGGTTTTCTAGAAATCTACATCTTATCTTATAAATGCGATAGTTAGGATGGAAGTTAGAGTTTGTAGCCTAAAAGTGGTAGAGCCCGCTTTAACATCTTCGCACAAATGGGTCGGCTCGCCCCCAGTA